AAATCAGATTTTCAGAATCTGGAAAGGACAAGGAAACGGATTCACCCTTAGAGCCTCCAGAAGGAACACAGCTTTGCCAACATCTTGATTTTAGCCCATAAGACCCAGACCTCTGACTTCTGGGACTGTAATAAATGTGTGTCGTTTCAAGCCACAAGATATGTGGCAATGTATTACAACAGAGAGGAAACTAACACACCAGCTAAAATCCTCCAACCTTTGGAAAGGTTCTGTAGGCCCAGACCTGAGGTCTTCAAGGACTGTGCTAGTTTATGAATGCCTATTACTTGCTATTTAGGCATTCAAAAGTTAATACCGTGCTGCTGTGGGATGGGCCTCCCGTTTTCATCTTGGGCATGTCCCTTGGGTTAGTTGACACGGCATTTCTAGAACACAGAGCAGGGCTTTACCTATTTTGGTGAGTGAAAAATAAACTATTTTTTCCCCGGGCTTCTTTGCATTTCTCGAGAGAACGAACACTGCACGAAGCACACGTAAGGTACTCATATATTTGTTGATCATTTTCCTGAAGTGTAAAGCATTTTCCCCAGGACCCCTCTTTTGGCACTGGTTTCACACTTATAGTTGAAGGCTTTTTTTTTTAAGTTTACTTATTTATTTTGAGAGAGAGACAGTGTGAGTGGAAGAGGGGCAGAGAGAGAGGAGGGAGAGAATCCCAAGCAGGTTCCGCCCCACCAGCACAGGGCCCGATGCAGGGCTCAAACCCATGAAGCCATGAGATCATAACCTAAGCTGAAACCAAGAGTCGTACGCTTAACTGAGTCACCCAGGCGCCCCTATAGTTGAAGACCTTTTGTATGAGTTTGGGACTGGTTGAATAAAATGGGGGAAACCATTAAAAATGGCAACACCTTCTCTATAAACATTTATAAACGTGTAATCATTCACCAAATTTTGATGGAGGACCAAGGACTTGGTGTGTGCGCTAATAGGAGTTCCTGCTAGTCACGCTTGCCTAAATAACATACAAACCTCATCTGTTATTTCCAGGTTGGGTCTCTATAAAATGGCATGAGGTTCCTCAAAAAGTTAAACATAGAATCACATACTTCTAGGTATATAAAAGAGTTGAAAGCAGGGACTGAGACATCTGTACGCCAATGTGCGTAAGAGCATTGTTCACAATAGTCAAAAGGTGTAAACAACACAAATGTTTACCAATGGATAAATGGATAAACAAAATGTGTGATAGTGGCAATGGAGCACCACTCAGCTATAAAAGCAAAACGAACATTTGTTGGATGGTCCTTGAAAACATCATGCGAAGTGAGATATGCCAGTCACAGAAGGAAGAATATCATATGATTCCACTTATATGATAAGTCCCTGGAAGAGACAAATTCATAAAGGCAGAGAGTGGAGTAGAGGTTATCACAGGCTGGAGGAGGGGGTCACAGGGGATTATTGTAGAATGAGTACAGAGTTTGTGTTGGGGTTAATGAAATGTTTTGGGCGGGGGTAGATAGTGGTGATGGCTATTATAACATGGTGAATGGATTTAAGCCACTGAACAGCACACTTACAAATGGTTAAAATGGTAAATATTATGTTTTATATATTTTACCACAAATTTTAAAAGTTATAAAAACAGGGGCGCCCGGGTGGCTCATTCGGTTGAGCGTCCGATTTCAGCTCTCATGGTTCCTGGGTTCAAGCCCCACATTGGGCTCTGTGCTGATAGCTCAGGACCTGGAGTCTGCTTGGATTCCGTGTCTCCCTCTCTCTCTGCCTCTACCCCACTTGCTCTCTCTCTCTCTGTCTCTCAAAAATAAACATTAAAAGAATTTTTAAAAAGTCATAAAAAGCATTCAAATCTCTTCTCTGAAGTTATTCTAGTGTAGTAATATGAAATGCAAGCATCCCCCCCCCTTTTTTTTTTTGCAGAAGACTCTTTACCACATGGTTGTTTCTAATTATAAAATATTCTAAAGACCTTATAGTTTACTAGCAGGTGATTTGTTAGGAAATTAATATGTGTCCAAAGTATGGACAGGCCTTAGAAGTCATGTTTACAAAGAGATTTTGCTGACATGAAGGAATGCTTATAATATAATGTTAAGATAAAAAAAAGCAGAGTAGGGGTGCCTGGGTGGCTCTGTTGGTTCGGCGTCAGACTCTTGTTTTTGGCCAGGTCATGATCTCAGGATTTGTGAGATCAAGCCCTGCATTGGGCTCTGCTCTGGCAAGGTAGAGCCCGTTTGGGATGCTGTCTCCCTTTCTCTCTGCCCTTCCTCCACTCACACACATACACTGTCTCTCTCTCTCTCTCTCTCTCTCTCAAAATAAATAAATAAACGTTATAAAATTTTTTTTTTAAAAAAGGCAGAGTATACTATTGTGCTTAGTATGATTCCCAGGTATGTTCAAAATAAAAAACCCCAGGGCATCTGGCTGACTCAGTCAGTGGAGCATGTGACTCTTGATCTCAGGGTTGTGAGTTCCAGCCCTACTTTGGGGGTAGAGATCACTTAAAAAAAAAAAAAAAAACTTAAAAAAAAATTACAAACCTATATAAGAAAAATATTAGGAGAAAGTACTCTAAAACGTAACAGAGGTTGCCCCTACATGATTGGAAAGAAGGTTACTTCCCCCATCTCTTAATTACTTCCCTGTACTCTCCGGTTTTCCTCAGAGAGCCTGTATTACTTTAAAGACCAGAAACCAAAACCCAAAAATGTCCCAAGCCCCAAAACTTCAGTGTGGCATAGTCCTTGCTTATTTGGGCGTCTGCCACATCCTCCCTGGTACAAGACTCTCTGTCTTCTTTTCTAACAACTGCTACTTTAATCCTAGTTGTTGGGGTCAATCTAGTGTTTTCCAAAAGAGGCATAGGCTTGTCCACAGAAACGCATACATATCTGTCAGTGAATGGATGGGTGAAAAGACAGAGAAAGAAAAGGACTCCAAGGAGGAGACCCACTGCGGGCGGGGCGGGGGGTGGGGGTGGGGGAGGAAAGCGTTTCATTCTCCCCCACTGTAACCTCACCATGAAAAATTAGGTTCTAAAACCACAAGTTTCTGTTTTCAGTATAAAAGCAGACGACCAAGTCCCTTGGAAGTAAATGTAAGGTCAAGGTTATTAAATTCAGTTTTGAGTTCAATTGTGCACTAGCATACCATCCAAAGTAACTTTTACGGACATTGATATTGCCTTTAAAAATAATCAAAACAAAATAGTTAGTTTTTTAAGGCCCACCAATGCTTAGTGCACCACAAAGACTCTATCAGCAGGGTCTGTATTGCAGGAGGTTATTAAAAAGAAATTTATATATTTTTGTTCTGTTTACTCTGCCATCAGTTATTCCCCAGCTCTGCGTGGTTGCCATGGCCCCAGGGCTTGGCATATGACGCCCTCCCCACATGTAGCCTCACTACGCTGGGCGTTTGCTGTCCCCAGAACTTCCTGGTCTGCGCCGTGCCTTTTTGTTTTTGTTTTTCTGCTCTGTCTGCCTGGAATGCCTTCTCCAGCCCTTGCCCGTGCCACACACGTCTTTCGGTACTTAACCCTAGTATGGCCATCCCTGTGAAGTTTCCCCTCCCCCTCCTAGTGGGCTTGAAGCCCTTGCCCCTTCCCCCCCTCCTGATTAGTCCCTCTGCAACCTGCCTCTGTGCCCTGATAAGTTACCTGGGGTCTGCTCTGTGCACACCCCAGGGGTGATGAGACAGATCACATGAGCATGCCCAGAAGAAAAGTTTAGGACTTTTGTTATCATCCCATTGTTTTAAATTCTGCTTTGTCGTGCGCGAATGATGATAGAATGTTTATACCATTATTAATAACCCTTATTTAGCACTTATATACCGTGTTTCAGGGACTGTTCTAAGCAAGTTACATATATTCACTAATTTGATTCTCAAAACAATCCAATAAAATAGATACTATTTTTATCCCCATTTTTCAGGGGAGGAAACTGAAGCATAAGGCTAGGAAATTTGTCCAATGTCATAAAGCTAGTAAGTGGTAGGTCTGGGATTTGAACTCAGGCAATTTGACTGGATAGCTCTAACTGTATTCATAGCCCTGACTATGCTGCTTGTATACATTAGTAATGTAGTATATTACTACATATTATACATATTTTTTAATTTTTATTTTATTATTTTTTTAAATATGAAATTTATTGTCAAATTGGTTTCCATACAACACCCAGTGCTCATCCCAAAAGGTGCCCTCCTCAATACCCATCACCCACTCTCCCCTCCCTCCCACTCCCCCATTAACCCTCAGTTTGTTCTCAGTTTTTAAGAGTCTCTTATGTTTTGGCTCCCTCCCTCTCTAACCTTTTTTTTTTCCTTCCCCTCCCCCATGGTCTTCTGTTAAGTTTCTCAAGATCCACATAAGAGTGAAAACATATGGTATCTGTCTTTCTCTGTATGACTTACTTCACTTAGCATCACACTCTCCAGTTTCATCCATGTTGCTACGAAAGGCCATATTTCATTCTTTCTCATTGCCACATAGTATTCCATTGCATATTATACATATTAAGTAATATGCATGTAAAGGATGTGCACGCCCAAACTTTTTCTTGGTGAGAGTATACAACAAAAATAATTATATTCCATAACTTTCTTCAATCATTGGTTATGCAGGGGTGGGTGACATTTTTCTGTCAAGGGCCAGATAGTAAATAGTTTAGGCTTTGTAGGCCAAGAGGCAAAATCAAGAAAATTATATAGAGAATCATATAACAAATTTTCACAAATTTTTATTGAGGTCAAAATGTAATAATAATTGAATATTTTATCATAACAGACTACTAATGAGAAGAATGGAATTCTTTCCCATAGGATAATATTTCACCTATGACATTGGGGCTCAAAGTTGGTATTCCCTATCATCAGATCTGTAAAAACCACTCTTAACTTGTGGCCCCCAAATAGACAGCAGATTCCGCCTGAAGGCCATAGTTTGCCGATCCCCTGTGCCACTATCGCCCAAATCAGTGCAAACTTCTCCGCAATACAGGCCCAAGTACCTTTCCAGCTTTGATTGTTGCTGTTCCTCTGATGATTTTTTTTTTTTTTTCCATCCAACTGGATTACTGGTATTCCTCAGACATTCTCTGATTTCTCCTGAAAGTGCTCATGGTCTAGTAGAACAAGCAGAAGTCAAGAAGATCTGGGTTCAAATCTGGATTGTCACTTTACAGCTCTACACCTTTGAGCAAGTGATTTGGCCTCTTTGTGCCTCACTTACCCCATCTGTATGTAACATGGTTTCTAAGCCTCAACATGTTGTGGGCAGAGACGGGAGTCACCAGTTTTCCTGGTATTCATCTCCACCTTCTCATTTAGGGCTTCTTGGTCCCTGTCGAAGCCTCCCTCATGACTGCTAGGGGTCCCACTCCTAGAAGCCCATGCCTGCTGGGCACCACCATTGTCCAGCCAGGCACCGTGGACCCTGCTGGTGCCCTGGGTTCAGACCCTACCTGTGATATCAGAGTGGTTTGCTCAGTCATCTGGGATGACTTGGGGAGGCGGTTGCCTTGTCCTGTCTACAGTCCACTAAGAGGGGTGCTAGAGCAATCTACTTATGGCCCAATGTTTAAGAGTTTCTGGTAATATAATCCTTCCATGTCAGCCCCCACGCTGCAGAATTCAAAAAGATCACTTGAGCCCGAACCAGGAGAAGCCTCAAAGGCCCCGCCTGGAGACTAACTTTAGAACCGCCCTGCTTCTCCAACGACCCTGACATTCTTATCAGAGAAATTTCCTAGTGCCTGGCTGGGCTGCTTTTTCTCCTGGGATGTTCACTCTGGAAGGCTTAATGGCTCCTCTGAAAACAGTTCTCTGTTGAGCTTATCCCACTCATTCACTTGGACTTGAAGTAACATCCCCCCAACTATCACATGTCCCAGGGTCAAGAATAAAAGCAATGATTTAATTGCAACTTGCTTTTGCATTAAATAACAGCTTAGAATAAGCATACGGAGCTCGGCTTCTGCTGATACACACTGCTGAGCTCCTCTTCGTTCTTTTGTTCCCTGTCCTGGTGACCTGGCTCCTCTCACTGCAGATGACATGGCCAATGGGGGCAGTGTCCCCATATGCAGCCTTCTCAGAAAATATACACTAATGGCTTCTGGGGGATTTCCCAGATGCAAGTGTGCACAGAGTATACAGGGTCTGTAGCGTTCATTTCCCCTGAACGCTCCAGATGTGTCTGCCTGGTGTGAACAGTGTCACCTCTGAGAGCTGCAGACCTCACCTGTCCGTAGGCTGCAGACGCTTGTCCACACTGCACAGCTGTGCTGCGTTATTTCAAGTCATGATTCTGTCTGCTCTCAGCTGGCCTGTGCTGGGCAGAAGTGGATGTTCCCAGCCTGCCTTGGTCCAGTCCAACAGAACCACATCTGTGTTGTTAACCATTCCCTCATAGGAACCAGTGTGCAAATATATTTTTAATAGCTTCCTGATCCTTCATCATCAAAATATGTTTTATTTAACCATTCTCTTACTGTCAAGCAAACATGTCATTTTCAAATTGTTTGCTTTTGTAAAGATTGCTTCAGTGAACATATTGTACATGAACCTTCGTGTCATTCAATATGAAAGGTACACAATAATGATGAAACTGAATGACAAAGCAGACACTGTTTGAGTCTTGGCCATAATCTCCCAACCAAAAGAAAGTTAGAAGTGCCTGCTCTTCTGGTAGCTGAGTTGTCTTAGAGCTGAGTGTGGCCATGACACCACAATTCTCGGTCAGTTTCCCAAAAGACTGCAAGTCGTAAAAGGGATTCTTTGGGAGGAGACCAGCACATAAACGGAGTTCTTAAAAACTTAAGAAGGATGCATGTGTTCCAGAAATGCTCTTCGTAGGTCATCATTGGATACAGGAGTCAGCATATTCCAAGGACTTCCGATGAGAGGCTCACTTTCTTTTCTAATGTATTTTGTTATTTCAGGTGTCTGATTATTTAAATAAGTTTAATTAAATAAAATAAACTGCAGCCCATTTCATCAGACAGGATGACATCAACCTCGAAATGACTGGAAATTTCATCACAGAGTAACCTTGGGATCTTTCTGAGGTTTGCTTCCTGCCCCCACGTTGTACCATCCAAATGCATTCTTAATTTCTCCAACAGAGGCGATAGTTTGTTTGCAATCACAATACCACCACTTTGCACATTATCTCATTTGATTCTCGGAACAATACTCTCAAGTACAAACAGCTATTTTTATTATCTCAGTTTATTAGAGGCAAGAAGCTCAGGCTCAATGATATTTAAATGGTTTCTGGTCCATTTCCCAGTTTCCAGCCAGGCCTCTGGCTAAAAATGGCCCCTGTCACCAAAGTATGCAAACCTAGCAGATCAGCTGTTCAAGCACGGGTTCGCTCATGGGGGTTCTGGTCTTAGTCCCCTCCCCCCCGCCCCGCCCTTTGATACCTGAATATAGTATTCATGAGTCCTTCATATGTGCTGTTGGCTCTGTCATCCAAAAGGAAGAAGATTTTTTTGAGCCCAAATGACTTAAGAGAAGAAAAGGAGAGAGACCAGCTGGTTTAGGATCTAAGAGAGGCAGTGGAGTTGTGAATGTTACAAGAATTAGGAAATGATCACCAGATCCACTCTAGAAAGTGTCTGGCTCAAAGAAGACACACTGCCTGGTTTGTTTAAAACAAGCTTCTGGGATAGGCAGGGGGTAGGGGTGGGGGGGGTTGGGGGGGTCCTGTGATGGCTTTTACTTTTGTTCCCTCTACAAATCTCATTTCAGGTTTTCTATCCCACAAGCAATGTCTACAGGCAGCAAACTAGTTGCCGCAGCTGGCCTACAGTCACAGTTGAACTTGAATTATTTGCCAACCTTTAAAATCATTACTTAATATTACTTAATAATCTGGATTTTGGGAGCACCTGGGTGGCTCAGTTAAGAGTCCAACTCTTGGTTTTGGCTCAGGTCATGATCTCGTGTTTTGTGGGATGGACCCCTGCCTCAGGCTCTGTGCTGACAGCATGGAGTCTGCTTGGGATTCTCTGTCTCCCTCTCTCTCTGCCCTCCACCACTCACGTGCACGCTCTCTCTCTCAAAATAAATAAATAACTTTAAAAATAATAATAATTTAGATTTTGATGTTTCTTGAAAAATCACAAGACTGGGCTGTGGTTGGCCAGCATTCCTGCGTGGCAGCAGCTGACGAGTGACTGACTGCCACTTTGAATGAGGTATGTGTATTGCCACCATCATCCCCCCCACGTACCCCCCATGCCCAGTGGCTGCTTCATTTTACCTCTCCGGCCTATGTAAATATTTAAGTCTGAAATTTGTGAAGGAAAGAATATGATCCTAAGGCATATAAGCACTGAATAGTGAACAAATCTATGATATCTGTTGAAAAAGAGGCCCAAATTTCTCACCCTTCTTTATCGGTCCTTAAGCATGTAGTTCCTAGAATGCTATGGTTAGTGGCAGGCACCTCAGCTTTGGAATCAGAGAGTGGGTTTGAGCCTTAGCTCCAGCATTCATGAGCTTTGTGATGTCAGGGGGGAAAACAAAAGTCATGGTTTAGATAGGATGGTTCCCCAAGTGGTATACAAGAATCCAAGGAATGGCAGGGGACCACTCTTTGGGGTACACATGGAGGAACAGGAGGCTGAGCTTCCTAGCTGAATCTCAGAGAAGGCCAGGATGTGAAAACATCAAATGCCACAGGGGATGTGAGACACAGGGCTGGAGACAAGAGAATTAATTGAAAGTCTGAATATGGAACAATTGGGCCTTCCTATCTCACCCCCTATCCCTAAAGCAAGGTCTCTATCACCCAGGAAAGGTACTATCAGATTCCACTCTTTTTTTTAATGTTTATTTTATTTTTGAGAGAGAGAGAGAGAGTGAGCGAGAGCGCATGTGTGAGCGGGGGAGGGGGAGGGGCAGAGAGAGAGGGAGACACAGAATCTGAAGCAGGCTCCAGGCTCCGAGCTGTCAGCACAGAGCCTGACATGGGGCTTGAACTAATGACCCTGAGATAAAGACCTGAGCTGATATCCAGTTGGACACTTAACTGACTGAGCCACCTAGGGGCCCCCAGATTCCACTCTTAAAAAAAAAAATTCAGTACCTCTGGAGGGAGAAAGTCAGCACATTGTAGGACTGCTGGGCATTTACATGAAGCCTTTACAAGTCCAGGCACACAGAACTAACCAGATTTTTGGAGCTTCACTCTTTTCTTTTTTTTAATTAATTAATTAATTAATTTATTCTGAGAGAGAGAGCAAGTGGAGAGGGACAGACAGAGAGAGGGAGAGAGAGAACTCCAAGCAAGCTCAGGCCCACAGCGTGTGGCCTGATGTGGGGCTTGAACTCAGGAACCTGTGAGATCATGACCTGAGCTGAGATCAAGAGTCAGATGCTTAACTGACTGAGCCACCCAGGCACCCCGATGGAGCTTCATTCTTAATTAAGAATGGACAATGAAGAATCTCCAGACACTTCAGGAAAAGATTTTATAATGAAAGAGAGAAACTAATGGATGCTAGCTGAGCCTGCTGTGGCAATCATTTCACGTATATGTAAATCAAACTGTCACACTGTATGCCTTAAACTTATACAGTGATGTACATCAATTATTTCTCAATAAAACTGGGGGGGGATGAAAGTAAATAGGAAAACACAAGAAGCTTGGAGGAAACAATCAATTATTTTAAGAAGAGAACCCAAATCAAAGCAAACTGAACAAAAAACCTCTGCTTAATATATTCAGAAAGACTCATGAAGCTATTTCGTCCACAAAAGAACAGAATGCTATGACAAAGAAAAAACAAGATGAGCTCTTACAAATTAAAAATATGCCTGTTACAGTTATAAAAGAATCAATAGAAAGTGTGAGAGTTAAATTATGGTACTCTCTGAAAGTAGAACCAAAAGACAGAGATTTTAAAAAGGTAAGGAAAAGGAAAGGAAAATAAATACAGGATGTCCAATATCCAATTAATAGTAGATTGAGAGAAAGAGAGCAAAGACAACCAAGGAGGAGGACAGTACCAAAGAAATACGACAGGGGAATTTTCCAGCACTGAATGCCACACATCTTTAGACAGAAAGGGCCCACTGAGTGGTAAACACAGAGTTTGAAACAAAAATCCAC